GCAAATGGCTGCAATATAACAAAGAGTGAAAAATTGAAGGGGGTCTGAATACTTTCCGTACCCACTGTATATATAAATATTACACACACACACACACGCACACACACACACACACACACACACACACACACACACAAAGAAAAACAAGTAGATAGAATAGAAAAAAATAGAAAGCTAGTTAAAAAAAGAAGATAAATATAGATAAAGTAGAATTAAAATAGAATAGAAAGTGCTAGAGTTGCAGGGTCAAAGACAAAAAAAAAAAAGACACACAAAGCAAGGTAACATTGTAAAACCTTTTAATAGCATTAACCTAAACTAAAATGAATATGCTGGAAACATAATGCATAGAATTCAATTATTAAGCCAATGAACAGGATCAGTACAGAACGTTTTGCACAGAGCAGACAGGTTTTGTGAGCTCACCCTCGACTGCAAATGAGCTGCAGAGCTTCGATGTGTCCGTGGTAAGCTGCCCAGAGAGTGGGTGTCATGCCATCCTCATCCGGGGTGTTTAGATCTTTCCTTGTGGCTTCTTTCAAAAGATCCAAATAGCCATCGATGGCTGCTTTGTGATATCGTGACATGATTATAATAATGATCTCCCTTCTTCAGCGAGTACATGTATTTTGTGAAGTGTTACAGGACCATCGTTGCAGGCATCTGGCGTGCTCTGTCTCTGCGTCTGAGGGAGGAGAAACTCTGATCTCACTGCCTATCACTGTCATAAACTAAAGTCCAGAGTGAGCTGTTATTGCTTACCATCAGTGTTAGTTTGCAGAGATATAAACAGGGGTAACTATATTTAATAGTTCTTATTTGATCATTTTAGATCTTGAAAAAGTGTTTAATTAGATGATTTTATTGTGGTCATATTTTTCCATCATGGTTTGATATCGTCTTTGTTCTGTTATTGTATTGATATGCCACTTCTCCCCTAACAGAGCATGTTTATGTGTTAGTTTATAGCTAAACTTAGACTATGCGCTACCATGTCTTATACCATTTTTTTTTTTTTGAGTGCAAATTGCAATTTTTCAAGTGGTCATAGGTGTATACCCTAACACGAAAATTATAATTATATAATTAAATGATTGCAATTGATGTATATTGGAAATATACAGAATAATATGTGACCCTGGAGCACAAAACCAGTCTTAAGTCGCTGGGGTATATTTGTAGCAACAGCCAACAATACATCGTGTGGGTCGAAATTATTGATTTTTTTAATGCCAAAAATCATTAGGATATTCAGTAAAGATCATGTTCCATTTAGATATTTTGTAAATGTCCTGCCGTAAATATATCAAAACTTAATTTTGATTAGTAATATGCAGTGCACTTGACTTCATTTGGACAACTTTAAAGGCGATTTTCTCAATATTTAGATTTTTTTTTTTTTGCACTCTCAGATTCCAGATTTTTAAAATAGCTGTATCTCAACCAAATATTGTTCTATCATAACAAACCATACATCAATGGAAAGCTTATTTATTCAGCTTTTAGATTGACTTTTATGACTGGTTTTGTGGTCCAGGGTCACATATAGTGTGTTAATATTTTACAATATATCGAATAATAAATAAGGAATTGCCACTTTTGATATATTAAAAATATGCGATAATTGATTTACTTATAATTTATATTCAGTAATGCACTTTAAACGTATGTGTGTGTGCGCTGTCACATGTAGGCTATATCTATGCATTTTAGCAATCAGTCTGTTAAGTTATAAAAGAAAGTTCTCATTTTTTCAGCCACTATATGCTCCCACGATTTTAACAAGACATGCAATTGGCCAAAATTCCAAAAATGTTAATATTTGATTTCAGTAAACACTTTTGGGAAGTGCCATACATGGTCATAAGCCGTACATGCTCATGAGCACGAGCATACATAAGCCACACATGGTCCATGCATATATTGCAGCATTATGAAAAATATAAACACTAGGTTCCACGCTAGACATGCATTATTTAATCTGTTTTCAGATAAGAAATGTTTCTTGAGCAAATCAGCATATTTGAATGATTTATGATGGATGTGACACTGAAGACTGAAGTAATGATGCTGAAAATTCAACTTTGCATCACAGGAATGAATTATATAGCCTACGTACATAAATGAATGTCCAAACCGATGGGCTGTGCAACATCCGGCCGCTAGAGGCGCTAAAGAGCAGCGGCATCGAGAATATCAGCAGCACAAAGAACCATCCACTGACGCGACTGTTTTGAATACGGAAGTTTTTATTCTGTTGTCGCACGTAATGAATATGAATCAGACCGGGAATCATTCGTTCTGACTGTCAGCTAATTTGTGTGAAGTAAAGACAGCAATCTGGTTTTGAAACTAAAGAGAGAGAGAGTAAGAGAGATGTCAGAGAGCAGCAGCTCAGTCCGCCTGCTGTCATATGAAACACTGGTGCACGCTGTGGCAGGTGCAATGGTGAGCAAAATAATGGTTTCGCTTTAGTTTGTTTCCCGTTAATGTAATGCTATTCTGAATCAGGGATGTTTGTTAAACTGTGTTTTATTGCCTTGAAGGGCAGTGTTACAGCAATGACAGTGTTTTTCCCTCTGGACACAGCCAGGATCAGACTGCAGGGTGAGTTACGTTATAATAGAGTGATTATGGATTTATTTTGTATTGTACTGGACAGTTTCTATGTGATATTCACTGGTATATTGTGTAGTAATCATGGTTTTATTTTTAAATATTGTAAAGTTAAGAAAAAAATAGAAAAGATATTAAATAATAATGTCATGGTCGTTTTTATTAGTGAATGCACACATTCTAGTCATGCTATTCTTTCAAACGTTTAATTAACTACAAACTGTTCCATTAAAAAAAAAACTCTTTCTGGCTATTATTTCATATGTCAGGCTTTACAGGGTTAAGTATAAATAGTGCATGTAGTCTGTCAGTTAATATAAGGTCATAGGCCATGGTTATAGATGAGGCATAACACACTGCAGGAGAACACGTGGTAAAGTCAATTTCACATTTGTGATGTGTTTCAGTGGATGAAAACCGTAAGTCTCAGTCCACCCCCATCATTCTGGCTGAGATAGCGAAGGAGGAGGGCATGTGAGTTACTGAGTTCAGTGTGCACGACACATCAGGACATCCTGAGAGGGACATTTCAAACATCAGTGTATATGCTGCGTGCAAAACCAGTCACTTATTTATTGTTAAAACAGTGTGCGAGTGAAAATAAGTGAACTCATGAACATCTGAAGGCACTACAGCACATACATGTCATTTTTAACCACCCATGAATGTGCTTGGAATCGGGTTTGAAAAAAAGAAATAGATAAGGAAATAGATTTCATGATGCCGTTTGACTGTGTTTCAGATTGTCTCTGTATCGTGGCTGGTTTCCTGTCATTTCTAGCCTGTGCTGCTCTAACTTTGTGTACTTCTACACATTCAACACACTGAAGAGAGTCATGGTCTCGGACCGCTCCAAGCCTAGCAAAGATTTGCTCATGGGCTTCATATCAGGTAGTGAAAGTTTGAACCCTCTTCACAATGTAGGCCTATTTCTTGTAAGAATTTCCTCTTGCTACCATGCTGCATGCAGTTTTTCCCCCGCTATTACTAAGGTGGTATTGGTTATTTCTAGGTTGTTACTTTATTATATAGTTTTTAATAATATTTTGAATTGGATTTTATTTTTTTAAACTTTCTCATTTAGTTTAATATTTTTGTAATTTTGTTGTGATGTTACTATTTAAGTTCAATTTTAGTGCTGCCAAACGATTAATCGCGATTAATCGCATCCAAAATAAACGTTTTTGTTTGCGTAATATATGTGTGTGTGCTGTGTATATTTATGTATATATAAAGACACACACATTCAGTATATAGTTTGAAAATATTTACATGTATATAATTTATATTATATATAAATATATTTAATATATAAACATAACATATTTTTCTGAAATATATATATGTATATACATGTGTGTGTATTTATATATGCATAATAAATATACACAGTACACATACATATAATATGTAAACAAAAACTTTTATTTTGGATGCGATTATTCGCGATTAATCGTTGCCCAGCACTATTACATTTATTTTGTATCTAGTTTAAATGTTAGTTCTGTTTGGTTTTTATTTCCAGTTAGTAATTTTAGTGCTTCAACTTAAACAAAAACTAGAAATGATTGCAAATAACTGAAGTTTTAAGTGTTACATCTTAAACGTATTTCATCTATACAGTAGATGTATATTTTGTTCAGCTTTATTTCAATTAACAAAAATAGTTTTAGCAAATGAAAATAACCGTTTTATTGTTACTTTCATTACAACATTGAAAAGTATTACTTCACCTGTAAGCATGATAAAGTCCACTAATTTCTTCTTGTTTAATTTAATTTAGGAGCTGTTAATGTGCTCCTGACGACCCCCATGTGGGTGGTGAACACGCGACTGAAGCTTCAGGGGGCAAAGTTCAGGAACGAAGATCTCCATCAGACCCACTATAAGGGCATATTTGGTCAGAACCGCTCACACACTCATTTATCTCACGAGGTATAAACTCCAAACCAACGTTCAGTCTAATCATTTAGTGGTAAAGCACATTTCAAATCAACAGCGGTTGAGGCAGACGCATACTGTTGAAAGATCGTCCTCCCAAATTTTGCGCTCGCATGAAATTCCTAATCCTGGATTCCGATTGAAATGCATCAGAATTTGCCAAACTACAGCAACTGTGACTGCACTTTATTAAAATAATAGGCATGTGTTGTCGGCAGTACATCAAATCATCTTGTTGTTTTCCTCTCAAAGATGCCTTCTCCCAGATAATAGCCAATGAGGGAGTGGGAACGCTGTGGAACGGGACGCTGCCGTCTCTCGTGCTGGTGTTTAACCCCGCCGTGCAGTTCATGTTCTACGAGGCCATGAAACGAAGAGCAGGACATGGAGGCAGGAAGGTGAGGGACAAAGAAAATTGGCATGATTCTTTTGTGGAATAACTAAAATGTGTCATCTTTATGGGCAGATATCATCATTTGAGATCTTTCTCATCGGTGCCATCGCTAAAGCCATCGCAACATCTGCAACGTATCCTCTGCAAACGGTTCAGGCCATTCTGAGGGTAATACCATCAATATGATCGCAGTAAACCATTGCATTAGATAATACACTTGATGCTGATAGACAGTGAATATTTCCCATTGCTTCCTCTGCAGTTTGGCCAGTATAAATCAGACGGTAAAGGGGGTCTAGTGGGCAGCCTGAAGAATGTGGTTTCTTTGCTAATGGACCGGATCAAGTAAGTCCACCTCAGTGACTGTAGTTTAATGCTCACTTTCAGTAATACTGGTTATCAACCAGAGTGATTATAGCTAAAATGCAACAACAAGTTAACTAAAACATTTTTGTTACTTAAAATAAACTGAAATAAAATTATACATATATATATATATATATATATATATAAAACTTGCTAGTTCCCAAAGAAAATATTTCTCATTTCAGCTTAATATAAACTCAAATTGAAACTGAAAAAAAGGTAGATCGGGGATCGGCGCATTCCCTTCAAAAACAAACGTAATCCACTGTGTCTTCAGCGGCTCAGATGTCGGGAGTAAATGACGACTGTTATGTTCATTATTACATCCAACAACAGAACACCTCAATCGCTTATGGCGC